TAATGAAGTTATCTAGAAAAATCTCTGGAAACACATCCAGAAACACTAACAAGAGAAACTGTCAAAAAGTATATAAAAAGAACTAGAAAAACAATTTGAGCTGTCATAAAAATAAAAACACAGGAGATAATACAGGATGCGACCAAATCATTGGTTCAGTTTGGTATTTAACAAATCAATAACATCAAAATGTATAGTTTTGATCAGGCTTTTGACAGATTTTTATCTTTTTTTAAAAGTCCTCCTAGTGGTTGAATAGATTTGTCACACACAATATACATATATATATATGAATAAAAGTATGAAAAATCTTAATTTGACTGAATATTGTCTCACTGGGAGAGGCTGTGCATTACTCTCTGTGCACTATCCCTCTCTCATTCAATCATTATCTGTCATTACAGCCGAGAACAGTTCCAGCAATTTGATTAATCTCGTCTGTCAGCGGGACGGAGCCATTTAATCAGAGTCCGGGAGGCCGGGGGGCTGCGGAATTTTGATTTCACGGTAATGTGAGACAGAACGGGCGCATTTTCGGCCCCCTAAAAACGTGCCACTCGGCGCGTCGCGTACACTAATGTGCGGCACGTGACCCAAACACACACACCTGCCGTTCATTTACTCGAAGTGCTCCGCTATCAATCAGGTGTACTTTGCAGATTGAATCATCAGGCCTTTGGCATGCCCTCCAGCTCCAGTCTGCTCCCCAAGACTGCAACTATTAGAAAAACAGACCGAACAGGGGAATAAGAAGCAAATATGCTCAGTGACATAAATGAGATTACAATAACATTAGTGGAACAAAGTGGATGGTAAATGATGAATGCCTAATGACTGAGTGATTAAGATACTTGTATTTTGACTGTGGTTTGAAAGACCGTCCTATTGAAGACATATTTCCCATTAGTGCTGATACAAATGCGCTGAAGGAAAGATTGGAATCAGCTTTATGGTGATAGATATGTTGTTTCTGTTCCGTTTTTCGCTGATGCGGGGCTTCGAGAAAATTGCCCAGAGTATCATTCATGCTTTGGCTTTATTGCACTGTAACAGGAAAATAAACATGATATGTGGCAAAGGTAAAGTGCGATTTGCTTTAAGTCTCAAAGCCAGTTTGAAATTTGATTTGATTTGATTTTTTGATTATTTTTTTTTAGCCATGTTGGCAGTTAGTAGTTTGGTCCAGATTGGAAACCCGAGCTACTTTTTGATGGATTGCGGCAAAGTTTTGGAAAGATGTGAGCTGCAGAGGCCGGTTAACACTGACTTCTCACCTGTTCCCTGCAGCCATTTAACATTTACTCATGAAATGCCTCATTGTTGAGGCTGGAATAAGCAGATAAATCACTCTTACCCCTGCAGAACTCCCCATCAACATCCTAAATCCTTACTTAAATTATTAACAAACATTAGCATGAAAAAAGGTCGTAGAAGTCTTATATTTGATGACTTTTGGTTGTTTTTTAATGTTCTAAGCTGAAAAATAAAGCTCAAAGACTCCGATCTAGTAAAGTAACTCTGTTTTGTAGAATTGTGGGAAAATGTTTTCTGATTTCACGACAAAGTTGTGAACCTCCATGAATGGGGTAAGCTTGATTTGTCCTAAAAACCCAATGCAAAGTTAAAAATGTAATCACGGTCCTCAAATTTGAATGGATCTTATTGAAGGATGCAGATTCTAAAAAGTGTTGTCCTGAAGTCGTTGTTGAAGATCATCAAGAAAGCAGTTCATGAAATACTGTGTACATATTTTTAATTTTCCACTAGTGAGGACGGATAAAGTATTCTAATCTGTTGGATTCTATTCTATATGGGCTTTTAATTAGGAGAGATATACGGTAAATACAGAATATTGTAATTATCATTGATCAAGTCTCCTATTTGAATAGATCCATTTTCCATTCAAAACACATTATTCAGTGACACCCAACAGTGATTGGTCAGACATGGTGAACACTGTAACTCTGCATTAGGGAAATTGTATTGAATTTGTTGCTATGGTTTAGCATTTAACTCTAACCATGATTTTGTTTTGGAGAGGTGCCAAAGTATTGCTTTATAATATAGCGCACAAATTATTGATCAGAGGCACATGACCTGGAGATTTAATCAAACAGTAAATCAATGTGCTCAGTTTTTTTAGGTAATAATGCGTGCAAAGCTCTTTAATTAATCAGAACTGACTGTTTTTGTGCGTCGCAGATATGAAGAGATCCACTTACCCCATAGAGACAGATAACAAATAAGCAAATAGACTTTCACTTTTATAAGTCTTCTTATAACCCGTTAGGAAAGTAGTTTTAGTAGTAGTATTAGTATTTTATCCCCCTACAACAGCCAGCTCAGGACACAAGAATAAAACAGATTATGGGGTTAGTTTGTGAAACAAACAATTCTACTGTGAATATTGACATGTCAGTCATAGAAATTAAACCAAATCGAAGCCTAGAGAGTCTGACCAACACAGCCAGGACAGTCAAATGTGGATCAACGGACTGAATATGTCCGGCTAGTTGGGCGTAGACTGTCATTGCAGACGCTTTAAAGTTTTGAGTTTTCAATTTGAGCTAGAATATATTTTTGGGAAGAATTTCTTTTGACTGAAATTAAACCCACTATACTTCGTGTCAACTTAAGGTGCCTGAAGGTGTTACCAGACTGTTGCTTTGCTCTAGTAAGATCCTGACTCAGATAGTCAGATATGGGAATATTGTCTGACAAAATCAAAATTCAAGTGACTAAAATAAAGCCTCCAGGCAGTGAATTCAACTACATTTACACGGAAATGTCTTTTTTCACTACTTTATTACGCTTTTTTTCTGTTTTTTGGACGGGGATAGGCGAGTTGGTCCAGCCAAATGGTTCCACTGAATTCACAAGCTTGTGGTAAAATCTGACGAGGGTCCGAAAATGGTTAAATACTGAAAAATTAGATTAGATTTTAGATTTTACTGTATTTGTTTTAGTCTGTTGGTAGATCTTTGAAGATTTTTTATTGCACTTTCTCTCACCTGTTTCTCTTCTGTTACCAGCACAAATCTGTGACCATGATTGATTTAATTAAATTATTTCATTGATTTTTTTTCTCCACCCCCCTGTAAAAAGATACTAACATTTTAGCTATGATATTCTAGATAAGATCCTTAAAAATCCCTTGGAAATAGGAGTTTTCATGACATGTGCTTAACGAGATGAGCCCCTGTTTATTTCAGTGTCAAATAGAAGGGATTTAATAGATCTGTGGAATCAATAGAGGAAAGTGAGGGGCTGAAAAAAAACTAATTTTACAGAACCACTGTGGTGCATCAGGCACGATATACACTCGGGAGCTTTTGCCCACTCGCTAATAGTGTGTCATTTCTCTTTTCTTTTTGTGATCTCTTCTAGAGACTGGAGTCCTACGGGCGGGTGTGGATGCGTGTGGCTGAGCTCCGTGGACTTCTGACAGGTGGTGTCACTCCCACGTGCAAGTCGCTCAACCAAGCGGTGCAGATGGTGCGCTGCAAGAAATGTCTGCCAGCTATTTTCTTTTTTTTTTTTTCCTCTCTCCCTGTTTTCTGATACTGTAAAACTCCCGAGTCCTTTCTTTACTCTCGCAATTTCGCAGGCCGTTCCCTCCGGGAAAGAATGGAAATCGTCTCGAGCTGTGATTTTTTGTGTTTTTTTATATTTTCAATCACAAATAGGAAATCATAACATTGTGTCAAGACTAACAAAACAGAACAGCAAGGCCAGAAATCACTGAGCGAAAACGATGGTGACGACAAAAGTCGAGTGATTCACGTGAGCTGACAGAGAAAAAGAAAAAAGAAAAGAAAAAAAGTGCAGTTGAGGTTATGTACATCAAATCCCAGGAAGAGTCAAGAGATCTCAGCGTGATGAAGAGAGATGACGTCTGCTCGGCGCCTTTATAATGTCTATTCTGGAAGAAGAAAAAACACTGTGGTGGTGAATATGTGTTTCCCAAAAAGAACTAAAACGTCACGTCTGCAGTACTGAGAGCACGGTGACAGAATAGTGACTGGTGTAAACTGATGTGATATGATATAAACATACTGCAAAAGCAACAGTTTATGGGTAAATTCAATTGTAAAAAAAATTCTCTCTATATAAAAAAAATCTATATAAATAATTTCATATATTGTTTCCCATTTTAGGAGAAATTAAAAGATAGATACCACTGTTACATCTCATTTCAGCTTTATGAGTTAAGCTGAGTTAAACAACTGTTGGGGTTAAATAAATATAAAAAAATGTGTTATGTCAAATGAATGCCTGAGTGATGATTCTGTAAAATGCTGGTGTGTGTGTTCCATAATCCCGTCTATTGATTTAAGAAGCTGTGGTGTGTTCCCAGATCACCTTCATAAGTTGTTATCCAGGGTGAACAGATCCACTGCAAGGCAAATAAAATGAACATTTCCAGACTTTGGAAAATCCTAGTGTCCCATTTCCCTTGTTTCCAGTGCTAGGCTAAAAGCTAAGCTAACAGGCAGCTGGTTGGCTGAGACGTGACAGTGGTATGATGTTTCATCAAACAAGCCCCAAAAAAGTTTCAGAGTTGCACATCGAAACTGTTTTAACTGTAAAACATTGTCGGGCCTTCAATTTAAGTTTAGTCTGAACTTTCCACATGAGTTCATGTGAGGCCTGGTGGAAGAATAACAGCTTGAACTATGACTTTTGCAGAGGATGCCATAATGTTGATCCCAGATAATACTGATATTTTAGTAATCTAAATAAGTTTAAGAAACCTGTTGAAGATACAACCCTTGCAAACTGTGTCCAAAATGTTTTCAGGGGCTCCCTGAACATGCGGGTAGGAGTGGTCTTTGAGTCCTGGTGACTGTGATGCGTCTCGCGTTCACTGTCACGTCAAAGAAAAAAGAAAAAGAAAATAACCTTCTGGATTTGAACTGTGTCAGGTGTGTCACATGAAGAAGTCATCTCTCACTCCAGAACGAGCGTGAAAGCGAGATCGGTTTAAAAAGCACAGTGTGTTAATTGACGTAGTAAAGCCAGTAGATCATGTTGAAGAGAGAGAAGACGAAGGGGAATATGATCCGAGAGTACCGGTCGATGGCGTTCACGTCGGTGAGGTCGGGGATTTTGATCTTGAGCTGGGACGAGCGTCTCCGCAGGCGGGTTTTCTTGAGGTGCGCGTTCCGGTCCAGGCCGGGGCGGCCCGGCTCCTGCGAGGCGCTGGGCTTCCTGTACTGGACGGCCTGGTTGTCGAACACCATGGAGGAGGAGTTGCGGCTCTCGCTCAGCGTCGTGGTGATCTCGTTGCCTCCCACCTCGTTGTGGATCTCCAAGGTTGTGAGCAGGATGTTCCCCTGGGAGTCCACCTGAGGACAACAGACAACGGCAGAGTGTTAAAAATGGCCAGCCAGCGGAGGCCCGGGTGACTGATGACACGTGTGCAGCACGCCGGGGGGCTCCCGGGTCGCTCTCCTCACGCAGGGTGACAGATTACAGCTGCGCAAGCGGAGAGTGGCCTTCAAAAGCAGGTTGTTTTGGGGTTTTTTGTTGTTTTTTTTGTCCCAAAGTGATATCACTTCTCTCAAATCGGCACAAGGTTAGACAGTATGGCTTTAACACTATCACCATGACAGCCGTTGCTTCCCACACAGGAACAAATAGATCACGGCATGAGACGAACAGGGCGGTACAGGACGGTAAATACATAGAGTGAGATGAAGTGACACAGTGGTTTCTTTTTTAAATTCCGCTTAGGTTGGCACAAGAACATAGATTAACTTTCAAAAATGTAAAACAACTGACACTGAAATTTACTTCATGATAAAAGCTGATGTCATGTTGAGTCCCTGCTATCCAGAAATTCTTGACAGTTTGTACACACACTAAATGTTTCTATTTTTAATTGATAAAAATGGCCTAAAATAAGTCATAAAATTCATTAAGATCACGCAAAGGAAAAAATTAGATGATATGTATTAAGGAAATAACCCATTATAATGAACATCTAAGCAGCAAAATTATGCAGAACTCAGTTAATATAAATATAAAAGCTAAACTCAGACATTATCAGTTGAAGGTAGGAGATTAGTAAGTAGGCGACCGGTTTGGCTCTTAGAATGCGGAATTTGTAAAGGTCAGTGAACATTTCTGAAGACCCCTGAAAAAGTGGGTAACGCTCATTAGGCTGGAAAAGGTTAACAAGTCCTCTCAAAAGAGTTTGGCTTTTTAGAGTACAGGTGACTTGGCTTTCCATGATGGGAGTCATCATCAGAGATGGCTCCAACAATGTCTGCAAGTTTAGAAGGAAACCTAGGATGCTTTCTGGGAAACTACAGGCCTTTTTTCAGAGCGGCCTATGCAAATTCTGATGACTGCCTATGCACACAGATTATTCCCCAAAAGAATTGTTAAAGAACAATGGAAAGGATTTTTTGTAAGGTCAAATAAAAATGCTAAAACCTATTTTTTCCCCCTATGATCAGCATTTTTTACCATAAAGAAATAAAAAGAATTTTTTTTTTTTCTTGTATTCTCTTTTTCTTAAGCACTTAGTTGAAACCATGTCGTACTTGCGAAAGAGTTTAAATGGCTCACAAACATTTAAGCACAAAATGATGGAAAGAGTGGTTTGGTTTCCTTTACTATGAAGAATTTGAAAGGTTCAAACAACAAAAAGGGAAAAACACCGGGTTGAAACGCACGGTTCACAGGAGGAGGCTGTGATGAACAATGCTGCTTTGTTGAATGACGGGGAGGGCTGGGGCTGAACTTTGCCACCCGAGCGGCAAAGTTGCGGCTGTGTTTTCACACGGCTGACACAACTGGTAGTGACAGAGACTCACCCGCCTAGAGGGCCGACGCCCTTGCACCTGATTGGACTGTTTGAGAGACGAAGACTTGCAATTGAATCCTTCCAGAATGGACTGGCCGGAGGAAACACAAACACAGAAAGCCTTGTTTTGCGTGCTCACTGAGTTTGTGCGGACCAGCAGAGGCGACGGACGACAATTAATTCAAATGACTAAACTGTTGCTCCACATGTTTTCATTTTTTGAAGCTCTGAATATTGCTAGTGCAATACCTGCCTGGTTCTCCAACCACAATTACACCATTGTCTTTCATGACCTAAAGATGATTGAGTTCAGTGGCACAGGAACTTTCATATAGTGACCAAAGATAATGATTTTGTTCTTAAAATGGAGACAACTGCCTGTTATTGATGTTTTTCCACGAGTACCTAGTCAGCATGGATCTGGTGAACTCCACTGAGTGTTTTTGCATTACCATTAGGAGCTGGGACCTGTGAACTGTTACAATTTTACCCCCTACCAAGGGCTCTGGGGCTCATATGGGTCCTAATATGGTATGGTACCAGTCCCATACAGGGGTCAGCCAGTTCATTTTTCCAGTCAGCAGGGGTGAAAGGGTTGATGCAGGGGTAAATTAGAGGACTAAAAAGTACTCGTTCTCGAAAAGAAAGCACCTAATTGTGCTGTTAGGGGTCGAAAGAATCGTCACTTGGGTCGGCCCTTCAAAGGTCCCTACCCTTGTAGTTTGTCCATTTACTACTTGTTAAAATAAGTGGACCATAAGTAAAAATTCCAGTCTTAAAAGTAACTCACTTGCTTACACTGTTTTCAGCCCTGGTTAAACATGACCTAACTTCGAATAACAATATGGAACAGCTGTGCACAATTTGTGGCTTTACTGCAAATGACCACGACGAGAATGCGCTAAAAACTGTTTGCCAAAACTTTGTCGAATCACTACCTTCGCTGAGTGGTTCTCACCTTGGGTTTGTCAAATTTATTGCGTTCGTTGTTGACTTTCAGTGCCTTCTCAGCCAGTTTCTTTTGCATCTGAGGCCCTCGTCCAAAGAAGATATAGTTGACAAAGGCGTATTCAAGCAGAGCCAGGAAGACAAACACAAAGCAGCCCATCAAGTACATGTCTATGGCTTTGACATAGGGGATCTTGGGTAGTGTTTCTCGCAGATGGGTATTGATGGTTGTCATGGTCAGCACAGTGGTGATCCCTGGGAAGAAAGAAAAAGAAAATCAAATGCCACATTAGGGGTGGAAAGCTTTCCTAAAACAGAAACTGCGGGTTTCAGCTAAGGTCTGACTGAGACTAATTTCTCTAAGCTGCAGGTGATGGAATCAGGTGTCTTGGTAAGCTTGAATTTTTAGCCCGACAAGCAGAAAATACTCCACTGTATGTTTTACAGCCCATGTTGCACATAACGAGTGTTCAGACTCAGCAAATACAAAACAGCGGTGTAGCCACTCTCTAAATAATATGCACCTTCGACAATAATATGCCTGTGTTGCTCTCGTGTCCTCTGGATGGCACACCGATCCGAAAGCTGTGTCTGTTTTTGTTGATTCAGGCTTACATAATTAAAAGAAATATGCTCCACTACAGAATGTTTGTGTGGGAGTCAAGAGAAGGTACGTGGCATTGATTTTTAGAGAGCAAAGGGACAGGGAAGAATCCAAAATCCTTCTCAACTGAAATGAAAAATGTTTTTGCTATTTATATCTTTATATCTTGGGCTGAGAAATCTGGGGAGAGAATAAAAACAGACTGCAGCTATTTGTAAATATAATGTAATTTCATTGACTACTGAACCTAGGAAAATGCAAATGTTGAAAGGGAGAGATTGTACAATTCCAAATAGTCTCAGCTTGTTGCTCACTTTGAATTTGATGGCAGCAATACATCTCAAAAACATTGCTACAGGGGCAACAAAACAGTACATAAGTAATTAGTTTCAGTGAAAAAATAAGTGACGTGACTAGGTATGGAGAGAGCACCTTAAAGAGGCAGAGTCTCTCAAAGGTGAGATTCAGCAATCCCCCTCAAAATAACTCTCTTATCAGAAAGGACTACGAAGAATATCAATGTTGCATTAAAATTTGAAATCCATCCATGTGGAACGTTTATGTGGAAATCAATGCATTGACTCATGAACACACACAAAAAAGGGTTTAAAGCAGGGTTTCTAGTTTTTCACCCCCCAAAAAAATGGCTCACTTTCAACTTTTAATATGATTTCTTCATTCTGTTGGGAATAACAAAACTGGCTTGTAAGATCTCAATTCAGCTTGTACAGTACTTTAGCTCAGGATTTTCACATTAGAAAATGGAAACCTACAATGAATCGTAACACAGACAAATAGCAGTGACAAAGGAAGTGTGGATGTATTCTCATCTGCATTGATCTCACTGTGCCTCAGACAACCGTCTCCTCAAATAAGACATCCTTGAAGCAGATGAATCAGATGTGTGTGTGTCTCTTTGTGGATTCATGACCTAGCAGAGGCTCCTCCGAATGTAGCGGCCCATTATTTCTTCGGAAAAAGATCCTATCCTCATCTCATCGTGTTGCATGTACAACTGAGACCTAACGATCGCCGCAGTGACGTACGCTTCCTCACACAGTCGGCACTTAAAGTGCACTGAGGCTGAATGAGGACTTCCATTAAGGCAAATACTCTTGCGGAGATCAATGGATTTCGGGTGAGTGTGGCGTTTTCAGACGGCGAACCGAGACTCATTCCATGCCGCCTTCAAATGAAACCTGGAGCCCGACTGATAACGTCGTCAACATAGCAGATAGGGGCCTTCATATGGACGTTCCCCCATAAATACAGACCCTTTCAGTCCCAGAAGCAAGTGGCCGATGCAGACTGAAGGAAACAAACATGGCAGTTGCTTAATCTAATATCAATCCGTCCCGATATGACCAAAATGTGAGAAGAACCCACCAACACACTTTTTTATGTGTGAAAGTCCAACCAGGGCTAATGCAGTGCATTAGGCTTACTCTTTGGCTCTGGTGATTTTTTTTCAAACAAAACTAGATATTTGCTGCTATTGGGAAACTAAAGAATTTAGCTCTAACGTGTACTCTATTCTTATTCATTTGTAGATATGACCATTGCCTTATAACTGTTGTTGGACGCTGTATGGTTTCCGGGAACTTTTTCATGAAAAAACTGCCTCCTAACGGAGTTGGAAATTATACAAACTAAAGCAGGGATTCTTGGGTGGAAGAGCAATAATTGTGTAGAGATTAACATCATCTTTTGCTATAATATCTAGAAACACCCAGCACATCCGCCCTTTTCTTGAGTCAGACATGATTTCCCAGCTAATGTTGCATCAGTTATAAAGCATTTTTGGCCAGAGAGGCCATCAGTCAAAAAGTATCCCATTTAAAATAGACTAAATCTCTGCTGTGTCATCTAAACCATCTCTTCAGAATTCCCTCATTACCCCCAAGCTTCCATGCCAACAGTTTGTTTCATTCAATTTCCCCTTTTGTAATATGTCCAGAGCTAAGTGGAAATATAAGCATGTGCTTGCAAAATCCTTCAGAGGGGAACTAACGAAGGGGAGAGCAATCAGAAGAGAAAAATGGGAAAGTTATTCCCACCCAAATCAAGTTAATGTATCCCTGAGCACTATTTGTTTTTTTTTCATAGTTTTTTACTTGAAACCTGGTGTTAAGTGTATGTATTACTTGCATGTATTCTTTTCCGTGTCTCCTACAATCGGTTCGATTTAAAATGTGTTTCAGTTCATACCACGGGACACATCGTACCTAATGCAACTCTGGCAGCTGAGGCGTCATAATTGATCCAGAATGACACCCAAGATAGGATGGTGATGAGGATGGAGGGCATGTACGTCTGCAGGATGAAGTATCCGATGTTTCGCTTCAGCTTGAAGCTCAGAGACAGTCGAGGGTAGGCACCTGCGAGGCGAGACAATGAGGAGGAAATCAGCTAACATCGATTCTTGCGAAACAGGGGGGATGTTTGTCACGGTTTTGGCAAAAGCTGTTGCGATCTGGAGAAAACAAGTCTCGGTTTAATCATGGTGGCCTGATCAAGCACAACAGACCCGCAATGCTACAACAGCTCTGCTGATCATTCAAAAATCGAGAAAGCTTTTACTGGATGCAAAGTTTGGATTCCTACAGTTTTTCAGCATGAGACATGCACCTTTTCTAATAGCTTTCCAAGAATGGATAAAATACTAAAATACCACATGGGGAGCCTATCTTAATGACTCGGTAAATCCTTGGATTGGGCTGCATCAGAACGCGATTGTAATGAGCTCAAAAGGCCTACTCTGCATTATCTCGTCTGAGATGTAAGAAATGCATCTGTCCTGCATGTAATTGATTCAACACTAGGAATAATCCGTGTGTCCTCGTATTACAGCCAGAATAATTCACACTATTCACACTGACAACACTGCACACTGACAGTTATTTGTCAGGAGGTTCAAGGAAGAGAGGCGCAGCTGCTAACGTTATGTAACTCCCAATTCTGATGGGAGGCCCAAGTGCAATACAAATATGATTATCAAAATGATCAAATTATACACCAAAACAGGATTCCTTCAGACCTTACATAGGCACTTTATAAGTTGCTAAAGCCTTAAATTAATGTATTTGTAAATAACTACAGAAAGCAAATGTCGACAAAGAGATGCAGTCAATTTTTGAATGCCATATGGTCATGAAATCATGGTCGCATTTCTTCCAAGGTTATAGTCATTTTTTACAGTCGATAAGTTAAATTCAAATGAGCTCAATACAACTAATCTCTAATTAGCCTTATTTAAGTTTACTAAACCTACCTAATGCAGTCATGGTGATAATTTGCTATATATCTAAAATGTATGATGTCGAAATTGTGTCAAAATAGTCACAATGTGGGTAGCATCTGCATGAAAATCTGCTGATCCCCAGCAGGGCCCTGTACTTTGTGTCAATCCTGTACATATCCAGCTCACCGGAATCAGCCAGAGACAGAGACAGAGATGAGAAAGATGTTCCAGTGGGTTTTATTTCAGATTCTTTGTCTGACACGACTCGGCAGTAAGATGAACGCCGTCAATAGTTCACTGACCTGTGGAAAAGACCACGTTCCTGGAGACCAGTTTGTAGTCCACTATAGAGAACTGAGGGAGCTCAATGCGTGTCACCCCGGTCACAGCAGTGTCTCCTCCTTTCCAGTAGAACTCTATGTCATCTGTCGTGTAACCATCTGTGAGAAAATGAGGCAGAAAGTGTGAGCCTCATGAGGAGAAAAGACCTGAAAAGTGCTCATTTTATTGACTCGGATGGTCCGAATTAATCTACAGCTGATTTACATTGAGTCTTCTGAATCGCTGATATCACAGGATGTAAATCTTTGTGGGAATGTGTCTCACTACAGGCGAATACCCGATGCATGGGATCCATAACTGTCAATAGTTTTATGGCAGCACAGATGGCCAAAACATGTCATCATGATGGATGATGCCGGACTGATCATTACTATGCCCGACCAAGGAAATCACTGTCTGCTTAAAACCCCTCCGCGTGGACAAAGTCGCTTTAACTGGAGAAGGGGGGGTCGCGAGCAATCTCGCTGAGATACGACAGGTTAATAAATCCAGAGCGATTCAGCGATCGGTGCAGTTTTTGTCTCTATAAGAAGAAGAGGCAACAACTTTTCCTCCCCCCCCTTTTTTTTTATGAGAATCACAGCAGCGTTCATATTCTTAAAGTAATGAAAAAGGGGGGCTGTATTTCTTCACCAAGCAAAAAAATGTGGAGCCTGAACTCACAGCTTTCAATTTCCAGAGTGCAGTTCTGTTCGTCCAGAGGGTATCGCCTCAGATCCATCATGCAGGCTGCTGTGGTTGTGATTCTGAATCAAAGCAGAGAGAAAAATAAGAGGAGATGCGGTTTAGATATTTTAAGCATTATTGGGCATTATCAAGAAACACATTTTCTCAGTTTGAAAGAAAAAAAAGTAGACAGTTCTCACAGATCCAGGTTTCTACTGATACAATTCTGACTTATGAGTAAGAAGATGAGAGTTACTGTGTTTGAATGAAACGGTGCTGAATGTTCCGTAATGATAAGTATCGGAGATGAAGTCCTAGCTAAATGACAACCAAGAAGGAAATTCCACTGAGAAGGAGATGGATTGATAGTTCATTTCCGAAAGTACATTGAGAGGTGCCGAAAATGAGCAAAGGCATCTATTTCTGTAATGTGATTTGATCAGGCTGAGAAAAAACCAAGACTGATTTCTGTTCATTACAGATACATATTACACAATCCGTGAATAAGTGTGAACAATGCCCACAATGCATTGCATCAACATTATGTAAGAAAATGTATGATGTAATAGCAAGTCCAAAAAAGGCCTTTTTCTATAGATGGTGTCTAAGTCTCTTTGTCTGTGCTCACCACCCTACTAGAGTGTGAATGAACGCAGATTATATTCAGTCACACATAATAAATTATCATAAAAGCCTGTATTCAAACACTTCAAAATTTGCCTCTTAGCTGCAGTTCTCCTGATTAGCTCCATGAACAAAACTATCGTACTTCCAGACTCAATCCAAATCACACCCCAGTGCGCTGGGATCATTTCAAAAAATAAATTTGATTATCAGTGGATTTAAAATGAGTGTGCACACTTGGACGGACCAGACCCTTAAAGAGGCTTGCTCCATAAGGACAGGAAATAGAAAAACGCAAAATTCGAAATGTTGGACAAATAGCGTGAGTAATGGCGGCTGGTCTTCTTGGATCTTGAAGAAGTTTCATCTCTCATTCGAACGCCTTCCATTGAGAGATGAACAGAGGTCAAGGGCTCATGTATCAACTTAATCACCATAATTTAAAATACAGAATATATATATATATATATGTAGTTATCCTGCCTATAAGCCATTATTCTCTAACAATTAGTATGAAACTGAAGGAGCCTTTTAGATGATATATGATACTTTTTCAAGATCCACAAAGGAGTCCAGTTGCCTTAACTCACACTCATAGGATTACTATAACCTGGATGACTAAGATGTTTCTGGTTCATGGAGTGGGAATTAATGTTGAATTTTTCACCTGAGGCCATAGAGGACAGTGCCATCTGGATGGAGCCGTATCATTCGGTTCTTTACAGTGACACCGTGCACAAAGGACTTTTTGTCGTTGAGGAAGTAGGTGTCCGGGACCCAGAGCTGGTCTGCCACTCTGTTGTCGAGGGTCAGGTTGAGAGGGATGCCCAGATAGGCCAGCCTCTTATCCCTCCAATACTGCTGGAAGTACATGGTCAGTGTGTAGTCCTGTGGGAAGCAAAAAAAACAAAACAAAAAACAAGAAAGCACGGTCATGCAACTTCAGTCAGAGAGGTGCAAAATGCGCTATAAATAATGGAATTTTGACATTTGGGATTTCTGGAGGTCCTCTTGGCAGGGACCACACAAACTGGAGCCAAATGTTCAACAAAGGTCGACAAGTTCAGCCCTTGTCTGAATCCTGGAGCATGGGTGGATTTTGTTTTCTTTTTTGGAACAACAGTAATATTTGTGAAGCTGAAAGTCCGCCCAGGACAACCGCATAACACCCAACTCAAAAACAAGCACCAACTCTCAAACTTTGGATTTCCATTACAGCCACTTCTCGTCAATGACATGTCTCATTATAGAACTGAGCTCTTTTTTTCCCCCATATTGCTAGATAGATATCATTGCTTATTACTGGCCAAACACGCGATGCCATCAATGATTTATCCAGCTTTCATTTGCAGCTTGCTCTTCGAGTTGATCCATCAAACACAAAAGCTTTCCCAGGCCTTTAATGGAGCTCTTTACCAGCTGACTTGGCTTTGTTTTGCTGACTAATGTTCTCCTAAATAAATAAGTAGGCTTCTGGAAATAAATAAAAACACGGCTGTGCTGAAAATCTCTACCCGCCGTCGGAGTGGCATGTTTATAATATACAGTCTGAAATAAATGCCTACATTTGAAAATCAATACAGTACTTACTTACTTGCGCTGAACTAGTTATTGCTTTGGGTTGGACTGTGTGGTCTCACCTGAAAAACTGCTGACCTGATTTAGGTGAAATAAAGATCAGAATTATTTGTTTTTCTCTACCGCTACTCAGTGCACCAAACGCTGGGGCAAAACTCCAGTCTTATCAGGAACTATGAACTTGTTTTGTGAGGGGAAATCCATCCCATGACCCCATTAATACATCCAGGTTTGTGCAATAAGAGGAAATAATCATCCTGATACTGTTTTTTGTTGTTGCCAAAACGATGGAGGGCTTTCAGCTGTTTCTCGGCCACACTGAAGGCGCCTTTTGATTTTTCAGACTAAGTGAAGGTTGAGTATTGAGGAGGCTGTATTTTCCAGAACGTTCCTCATTGCACACAGGGCTGTTCGTTTATTTCTTTATTTACTTACTTATTTTGTGTGCGTCTGTGTGTGTGTGTGCGTGTCTTTCAGTGGCGCCCTCACCCTCCCAATTCCCTCTCACCCTCTGCGAACAGATGATGCCATCCCACATACAGCAGAGGTGTGGGATGGTGAATCAGCTTTACACAACAGGCTCTCGAACTAATGGAGCTCGTCGGCTAGCGCCAGCTTCCTCCCTTTTTCTGAACCACGGCTATTTCGGTTCGGTTCGAGATCCTCAGATCCCACCTCAGCGGACTCTTCTAAGAAAGCGCCTCCAAGATTACGGTGGCGTTTGGGAGACGGAGCCGCACCACATTGTAAGCAGGCTGTCCTGCTCTCGGAGGCTCTGTGTGCTCGGCGGGGGCCCCACAGGGACCTGTTCCAGGGCCCTGTCTAATCCACGTCGAGGTGTTTTGATTGGCGCACGGGTTGACAGCTACAGAGACAAGCAGAAGTGCTGGCTCCTGTCCTCAGTCAGTTACTGACAGCTGAGAAAGGGAATCATACATGTTGCAAAATATCTCTTGTTGGAGCAGAAATCGGAGCGAAAGCGAGCATCCCGATTGTTTGAAGCTTCTGCCATTGATCGTGACACTTTTCTGCCTCAGTTTTAAGTGGCAGAGACAAGGACAGATGTACTGCATTGAACAAACTGAGTAGAAATAAAAAAACCTTTGTGCCAAAATTATCCAACTAGGAACGCAGCCCTGGGTGTCTATGAGCTAAATCCCAAGTTTATTTCTAACAAATGTCCATGCTTATTAGCAGTATGCAAGTAAGTTACATAGAATTGTTACTATCAGTGTTTTTTTTCTCTGCCAGACAAACTGAAAATACAGCCTTAGATTAATTGATCAGGCTCTTGACATACAGTATTTGTAAATAAATTTAGGACATAATACTGAAGTTTGATCTGTAATAATTCATAATAACAGCTACTAACTTGTTCAGGCAGATAACGGAGCTTGAACGCAACTTAGGAAACATCTCGGATGCAGAGTGGGCATGGGGTGGAGCCAAAGGTAAAAGAGGGTTAAATAAATCGTCCATGTTGTCTGCAGAGAGAATTCAGCTGCCAGGCCACAAAAGCAACACTTTGCACTAACCCCAGAGGATATGCACCACACCTTTCTCTCTGAAACAACGGCTCAGATTTCCTTTTATTAGCTATAAAAAATAGTCTATTCTCATGATAAATACTGAAACCATTAACGTTCCCTTTAAATGTACTCTGCTAGGGACTATTAAACTGCTATCTGACAATAAAACAATATGGAATTTAACTGAATTTAATATGCCAGCTGTTTTGGGCAGACCCTGAGCAGCAGCTGTCCACAGCGCCAGAGTCTCAGGTGGCTTTAGATCTGAGTTAGACAGAAGGTGAAAAAACAACACTCGAGCTTTCAAATGTATTCAAATTCTATTGTATTGTATTCGTGTTAACAGCTGTTGTATGTTGAGTCTCTTTGGGGGAGATTCTACATACCTGGGAACCTTGAGAGGGAGTTGAGCGACACACGCTCAGAGTTTTCTCCCGTTTAGACTTCTGAGGGATCAAATTCAAATACAGACAGCTGTCACGAAGGTGCCCTGGTGGAGGGGTTTTTCGTATCGTCTTTTGCTAGTCTCGTCATTTCCTGTTTTATTTTGAAGAATAACCCTCATCTCGTTTCAGGTCACTTGCACTTCCTGTTGTGTCACCAGTCTGAGCGTCTCCCTGATTACCTATTGTCTGCACCTGGGCATCCCTTCCCTCTCGTGTTCAAATAGTCCTCGTCTCCCCTTGTCCTGTGCCAGTGTGTTTCGTTCCCAACCACAGAGCCTGTCTTGTCCTTAGCCCTCGTCACAGTCATAGCCCTTGTTCCTTGCCTTCTGAGCCCTTAGTTTTTGCCTCTGCCACGAGTGCGTCTTTTTCCCTCCTAGAAGTAACATTCCTAGTGAGTATTTCTGTTGCTACTTTTGTTTCCTGTCCAGCCTCCTTAGTGAGAGATTTACGTTGTTACTTTTCAGCTTTGTTTTGTAACTTTTTCCCAGCCTCGGTTCGAGTGCTTTTTCTGTTGATACTTTGTCCTCCGTTGCCGGAGCGCTTTATGTTTGTTTCTGTCCACTCTTTCGAGTGCGCCTTTTGTTAATAAATTTTTGGAATTCTGAACCACTCTGCGCCTGAGTCCTCCTGCGTCCACGCCCGTGTCAACAGCTAATGTTGCCTCATTATTCCCCCTGTCATTTGTCAAAGCTGGGCTTGGGAGCTACTTTAGATACAAAACTCCTGATGCGGAAACTTATTAGGAGCAGAAAATTCCATTTGAACTCTCAGAAACGACTTTTAATGCATTAGTCATAATGTAATCTATAACTGAACCTAAAAAAAAAAAAAATTGAGTACGACGGCTAAAAATGATTGGAATCAATACAATGATTTTGTCGTAGGGTAATGACATTGGCTAATGTCCAATCTAATTATTGTGGAAAAAATGGTGGAAAATGCAGCACGTTTAACTATGATATCAGCAACAAAGTGGTGCAAAATGGGAACTTTTATAATGAATTTTTAGTTCAATTGGAGAGGCTTTTGTCTAGAAATCATCTTTTGTAAGACTATGAATTGTTACATAGTTCATACAGTGATTGAAAAGTAAAGGATCTGTTTTTATAAAAGGGAGCTCTACGGATCCAAGCATCAATGCAGGATTTAAGGAGAATATCAGCCATTAATACAGGATTACCGATGTGGATAAAGCGAAGCTAAGAGGAGCCTAGGATGTTGGACAAAATGTAAACTGAAAAATCTCCGGTTATACTGGCAAAGCTGCAAAGAAGTGTAAATATGACTGACTGTTGCCTGTTGGCTGGTGGTAGCTCAACTGGTCAAAAGTAATGGCAATCAGCTAATGCAAGTGCAGATTCTTGTAAAATTTTGGTTATGAGGCACCTTTTTGGCAAATCAAGTCAGTGCAGCCTATATAGCAAGCAGTTATCCCCCTAATATGCCAATTACTTTCTTGTAATCTGTGTTTTGTGAACAAAAGTTATTGGAAATGATTTTAAAAACGCTGCCAACGACGGGGACTTCAATCCCGAATTCTGAGGAGACGTGTTGATGCTCCTCACCACGCTCAGTTTAGGCTGTTGCTTGTCACGCAGACCACAAGAGAATAAATGAGGCCCTGTGGGAGGATGAGACTGTCGTGTCATCTTCGGCTCGGAGAGTTCACAGTCTCGTACGCAGACATGGTTACTGTGTGCCAGTCAAACATAATTTACGTCAACGTAACACTAAGATATCTGCTGGGAATACAGGAATAGCACTGAGCGATTCTTGCCCCTTGCAAAAGGGAGGAGGGGGGGAGCTTTTCATCACTTTATGAGACAGTTAATGTCCCCGGTAGGATTCAGAAGTGTTGTCGGTGTCTTGCGCCGACCGTGCGCTTTCATCGTTTCAGTCTCCCAGCCTTGATTTCTTTTTTTCTTTCAGTTCGTCAAAGACTGGTTTATTATTCACAAGTAATGAGAGTGGACGGAGGGTTAGAGCTCGCGGGATAATGGACATGCTGGTGAAAGGATCGCTTCGCCACAGTGGTGTGAGGCAGCCACATCAGCTGAGAGAAAGTTCTAGCAAAACTGTCTCTGCAGTTTAACTGCAAGGTGCTATCCTTTTCTGTGCGTTTAGTGTCTGTGGGTTGTTTATTAAAAGGAGAAAAAGGAACACCTGAATGCTCTGGCTTCAGGTCATATAGCTAGAACAACAAAATGTGTTTTTTTTTGCTTTTTTCAGAACTAGAGGAATCTTAAGGGCTTAAAAACTTGGTCTGACCTCCTAAAACTAATGCAAAATTTAACACCACGCGGTTAGTGCTGTAAACATTTTTTAGAATTTCAGCTTTAAACTTTAGCTTACATTTGAGTTTGTTCTGCTGTGAAGTCATTCACACGACACACTTAAAAAAAAAAAAAAGCCTTTTGCACAGAACACATTCAAGTAGCATGACATCCGGGGTTATTATTACAACTTATTTAAGGCGTATGCTCTCATCAAGCAGCCTTGAATATAACCAACTGCATAAGTCGACTTCTTTAACGGGGGAATTGTGCGTCTCTGCCCAATAAGAGCCCTTGAGGTCCCATTTTGTTTATTACCAAACCATGTATGTTGGTATGTTGTGCGTCTGACTTATAAATGAAGCTCTTCGATATAAATCTTTGGTATCTTTGGATTTTTTTTTTCTCCGGGTAACACTTTCTCCAGGCAGAAGGTGGTTAATGTTGAAGTGTCAAAACGGATGGGAGTTTTTAGCACATGATGGATTTGTCTTTCAGCTGACTCACACTGAGTCTATATGTAACAACACCTCTGGGAGGATCTTCTGAGCAGCCTTAGGTGCTTCGTGCGCACTGACAGGTGCTCCTCTGCAGTGTGGGAAACATCTGAAGGAGGGGCTTCTGCAAAGATTTCTGGAAAGAAACAGCGTTTTTGTGCCTCGACTGAACAAAGAGGGAGGAATTACTTGAAATAACAGAGGAAAAATGGACATGGGCGCGCTATAATTTCAACCTCTAAACAGACGGGGCCAACATTTTGTGTAGCATGGTTTGCGTGCACAGCTTCCAGGGTGACCCCTGCCCAGTGGCAGCTGGAAGAGGCTGCAGTCAAACATGCTCCTTTGACATAGGAACAAAAGAAAGAAAAATGTACATAGTCAGATAGAAGGACTGGACTGAAAATACCTAAGTAATAGTTGATGTCAAAATAAAAGAATAGGAACAATTTTCAGGAATGCTAGATAACTATTGCTCCAGATCATTTTAAAAGATTACAGGAAATTATACATCTGACTCAAGATTTGTATACTGTACTATACCTAAGTTTTCTTTGGATACATAGTTCACTTCTTTTCTTATTTCACACAAAATCCATTTCTATATCCCATCTATCAGTCTGCAATAAGACTGCGGAATTTTGCATCTGACAAGGCAGATGGTAATTTTTGTTCTTTTAAAGAACCATTAAATGTTTCACAATAAGTTGATGTCCCGACTTAAACCATGAAATGTCATTCAATTTGAACAAATTTTTCTCTGATGAACAAGTGAATGAACAAAGAGAAGTAT